TAAAGGTATGTTAGCTTTGTTTTGTTATATTTTGACTTCTGGACTATTTTAGTTCATGGGAGATTCGACGACTCATCCCATTTTGTCCATGTTATCGACACACACTACGTCTGGGCCGCCAGTGATAAAAATAAAGGTTTATTTTATGTATGCATTACCTCCCCACTAAGTAGACGGATTAAAGTAAATATTGTCAGCCATTTTGTTCATTTCAGGTGCAGTTTGTCCCAGTGCTACTCGCATTATTTCTCTTGGCTTCAATGATTAAGGTTAATACTGCCCAGACTACCTGCCACCACAATTGCCAAGGTGAATTATCCGCGTGCTTGACACAATGTGACGGGCCGGCATCGTGTGAGGATTGTGTCAATAGTAAGGAACGTTGCCTGAGTGACTGTGGAAAAAAGAGAGAGTTTGGGTCAAACTGGAGAAGTGGCTTCCATATTGAACGCAAAAACGGCAAGAAACGAAGTTTCAGTTCCAGCAAATGAGGCAAATGGAATGCTAATGGAAGTTTATCATTTAAAGCATTATTTTAAAATGGCGCGGTAAACTATTAATTAAACCCTTTGGCTGCCAAGGTTGACCAAAGATAAAATTCAACAAAACTTCTAAATTTAATTTAATTAAAGTTCTGAGAAACAAATAGTACCATGTGAAGAAAGTAGTTCTAAAGAGGTTTCATTTGAATGATCACGACACAAGATTTTTTTCCACACACTTCAAGGAGAGAAGCACCTCACGAAACCACATCATTCACTCTGTCGACAGTGAAAGGGTTAAGAATTATCGATTTTATTGGACTGCGAGCAATCTCTTATTTTCTTCAAAGTTACTGGGGTAGCGCTAAAAGTCTTTTTTTTTTTTGTCACTAAGGCCTGGACGGATCTAAGAGAAAGGGCGGACAGCAAGCAGTCTACAGATTGTATAGATTTCTGTCGCTTATTACGTGTTAAATTTAGATATATAGACAAAAATGTTTCTTTGAAAATTGCTCTTGTCTATAAAACATAGTGTAAAGCAAATTGTGTTGACAAATAAATCATTCTTCAAACTATTACTACATCAGTGTACTACTTCTAGGTATAGGTCTGTGGTTATTTTTGGGTGCCGCTGGTGACGATTCCCACTACATACATAATTGGCCTGAACGAGGGAAATAAGAAAATCCTTAAGAAACTCCTTTAATTCTGTCTTGTCGAGCCTGTGCGCTAGTGACATAATGCATTGCGGCCCTTTTGCCCGCCTCTTTGCCAGTTCAACGGAGTTCAGTGGAAGTGACTGAGAAGTTTCATCCCTCCCACCTCCCCTGGTGGCGGTTGATGTCTCATACCCTCGTTATTCTGGATGCCCACTGTTCCGTTAGTCGCGGATTCCTCCCATAACTTAAATTTAACTTAAGTTCCTCCTGACGGGAAAATAGGTATGTAGTGCGAATATTATACTTAGGGCTCTTTCCATTTGTCAGAACTGACCGGCCTGGACATTTCCTTTGTAACGAGAATTGCACTTTTAATCAAAGCTTTCCAGCCAGATCAGTCAAATCCTAAATAGTATGCACGAAGGAAATTGTTTTTCATCAAAAACTCTTGGAAAAAGCCTATTTCATTTTCAAAATGACCGGTGCGGGGTACCAGGTCGGCCGGTCAAGACTGAAAACCTTTCGCGAGAATCAATGGTACTGAACCAGTTATATTCATTGACACCTACAATAAACTCATTCTAAAAAGCAAAGGTTAACGAAGGGTTATAGAACTGAAAAGTCTAGTCAGACTTTAAGAGAAGATTGTTGACTTTTTTTAAAATAACAAAATGATCCCTGCTAAGCTATAATAACAAACAGCATTTAAAAAAGGGACTTAAGTTTCCCTATCTGATACCTCTCTGTTTCCTTTCTGGACGGCATTGTGAGAGGTATATGGGCTACTGCAAACATGCGTAGCGACAGCGAGTCCTCAGAAAAACGTTTCGTCTGGTCAAAGTAAAGTTATTGTCTTAAAAATTTAATGCATGTGTTTCCTAAGACGCGCAATTGCCAGAATTGGCCCCTTTCAGCTGGTGTCACGTGATCTACATATTTTTAAAGTCGGAACAATTAAATTGGACAGAGCTATTATGGAAACAGTCCCCACACAAAAAATAAAATAAGGTTAATAAACGAATAAATAAAAAATCGAAGCAAATAGAAAAGCGTATCCCGTACACACTCTTGAACATTTGGCAAGACTAAAACAACGATAAAACTCCGTCTTAGATGTCAGAGGTCTTAATACTTTCTCGACCTTGGTCTTCTCATTTCTGGCTGATATTTTAGTTATAGTCCATGATATAAAAAGGTTCGTTTTGCAAATTAATCAAAGTCTACTCAGCCTTTCGTTCTACTGCTTTTAAAATCGAAGGTGGCGGTTCTCTCACCAGAAAAATAAGTGACAGAACTTCAGATAAGTGACAGAACTTCAATTAATGTTGACGTCAGCTATGTGAAATGTGAGTCCCTATTCATTTCGATGCAAAAAGCAATACTGAATAATAAAGCTGAATTCATCAGTCACGGTCACTCAGACCCTCAGATAAGGAAGGACCAGGTCTCCAAAAAAACTTTTTTGGCCCAGTTTGGTCTTAAAATAGGGGGAAAATCGGATCCAGGGGAGGCCCGGCCCCTACCCTGGATCCGCCACTGGAGGCAATAGCTTCAAGCAAGAGAGAATGATCTAGATAATTCTCTCTTGCTTCAAGTTATTATGACCTAAGCACCTTCACTATACCAGATAGCTCTAGCGCCGGCACACCTCTTGAAAATCAAAGCGGACAGGTCTTCTGTTGACACATAGGAACGGTGAAAGTTTTTCGGCGCGATTACCGTAAGGGAGCAAAGCTACGTGGCGCCGCTAGAAAGTGGAGCGTCACATATCGGATAGGTTCTGTGCCACACTTTGTTGAAGCGTGATCAGGAATTCGGTCCGCTGGCGGTAGTGAATAAGTAGAAAAGAGGACTGGAACCCACTGACACGGAAGTAAATCTTCAGGAGTGAGGATTGGGATTGAGACTGAGACTGAAACGAATCCCTCTCGGCTAACTGCTCCGGCACGATGTTAAGAAGTGTATGTGTCGGAAGGACTTGTTCCAGTTCTGTGGCGTTGCTGTTAATACTCAGTACCGGCCGGATAGCACTAATAGCTATCCGGTATAGGGGAATCAAGGGCGGATTTAGGGGTGGGCCCAGGGGGCCCCGTCTCCCCCCACTTTTTGTCAGGGAATTATTTTCTTTTGTAAACGTGTGCGGGTATTACTTCGAGCTTTGTTACTTAATTATATTTTCTTCAAATAAACGTTGTTAATAAGGAAGGAATCTGCGTTCGAAGCCTACATTTTTAGTCGCAAATGACCAAAGCTCCCAGAATGCATGCAGTAATTAAGTATCCTTCTCAAATAAACTGGATTTGACAATTTTTCAGGGAGACAATGTTGCTGCCTTTGCCGGAAGGTTGTGCTTTCGCAGCAATCGCTTCGGTCCCTGCTAGCATCATGAACTGATGAACTCTTCTAATTACTTTATCAATATACAATTCATAAAATATATTTCAGCTTGTTTTGATGTTCGTAACAAATGATTATCAAAGTAAAGTAATTGCCCTGTGTTGTAATTTTGATTCCTAAACATAGCTTTTGCAATACTGTATGTGTTTGTGTGGTCATGCAAATAAAGCTCGTTGTTGTAGACCACAACCACACCTGTAATTTATTAAATATTTCAGCATTACATGTTCAATATGGAATCCGGGCAGTTGCTAAATTTAAACGTTCAGAATACACTAGATCACATCGCAGAGAACTTCAATCTCACAAATTTTCTCGGGGGAGCATGCGCCCGAAACTCCCTAAAAAAGGGTAGGTACTTTAAGTAGGGTTATTAAAGTGTATCAAGAAATGTATCAAAATAGCCATGTAATGCCATGTATAGCCATATAATGTCATGTATAGCAATGTAATGCCATGAATAGCCATGTATTACCATGTATAGCCATGTATACCGATGTAATGCCATGTATTGCCATGTACTACCATGTATAGCCATATATACCCATGTAATGCCATGTATTACCATGTATAGCCATGAATAGCCATGTATACCGATGTAATGCCATGTATTGCCACGTATTACCATGTATAGCCATGTATTCCCATGTATAGCCATGTATACCCATGTATACCCATGTAATGCCATGTATTGCCATCTATTGCCATAAATAGCCATGTATTGCCATGTATTACCATGTATAGCCATGTATAGCCATGTAATGCCATGTATAGCCATGTATAGCCATGTAATGCCATGTATTGCCATGTACTACCATGTATAGCCATGTATAGCCATGTATACCCATGTAATGCCATGTATTACCATGTATAGCCATGTATTGCCATGTATTACCATATATAGCCATGTATAGCCATCTATAGCCATGTAATATCATGTATAGCCATGTATAGCCATGTATACCCATGTAATGCCATGTATTGCCATGTATTACCATTTATAGCCATCTATAGCCATGTAATGCCACGTAAAGCCATGTATAGCCATGTATTACCATGTAATGCCATGTAAAGCCTATATAGCCATGTATTACCATGTATAGCAATGTATTGCCATGTACAGCCATGTATTACCATGTATTGCCATGTATCACCATGTATTGCCATGTATAGCTATGTATAGCCATGTATAGCCATGTATACCCATGTAATGCCATGTATTACCATGTATTACCATGTATAGCCATGTATTGCCATATATTACCATGTATAGCCATGTATTACCATGTATACCCATTTAATGCCATGTATTACCATGTATTACCATGTATAGCCATGTATTACCATGTATACCCATGCATAGACATGTATTGCCATGTATTACCATGTATTGCTATGTATTACCATGTATCGCCATGTATTACCATGTATAGCCATGTATACCCATGTATACCCATGTAATGCCATATATTGCCATGCATTACCATGTATAGCCATGTATTACCATGTATAGCCATGTATACCCATGTATACCCATGTAATGCCATATATTGCCATGCATTACCATGTATAGCCATGTATTGCCATGTATAGCCATGTATAGCCATGTATACCCATGTAATGCCATGTATTGCCATGTACTACCATATATAGCCATGTATTGCCATGTATAGCCATGTATAGCTATGTATACCCATGTAATGCTATGTATTGCCATGTATTACCATGTATAGCCATGTATTGCCATGAATTACCATGTGTAGCCATGTATTACCATGTATTACCATGTATCGCCATGTATTACCATGTATAGCCATGTACAGCCATGTATAGCCATGTATAGCCATGTATTGCCATGTATTACCATGTATAGCCATGTATACCCTTGTAATGCCATGTATTGCCATGTATTACCGTGTATAGCCATGTTTACCCATATAATGCCATGTATAGCCATGTTTAGCCATGTATTACCATGTATAGCCATCTATTGCCATGTATTACCATGTATAGCCATGTATAGCCATGTACACCCATGTAATGCCATGTATTGCCATGTATTACCATGTATACCCATGTATACCCATGTAATGCCATGTATTTCCATGTATTACCATGTATAGCTATGTATAGCCATGTAATGCCATGTATAGCCATGTATTACCATGTATAGTCATGTATTGCCATGTATTACCATGTATAGCCATGTATAGCCATGTATGCCCATGTAATGCCATGTATAGCCATTTATTACCATGTATAGCCATGTATAGCCATGTATAGCCATGTATTACCATGTATTGCCATGTATTGCTGTGTATAGCCCTGTACTACCATGTATCGCCATGTATTAACATGTATAGATATGTATAGCCATGTATATTTTTTAAATTTTTAAATTTTTAAAAATTTTTAAAACTAAAGTAGTGAGCAGCACTCTGCGAACTGTTGCTGTAAAACTTGTTTATTCTCCTACGCGTTTCGTCTAACTAACGTAGACTTCTTTAGGGAGTTTTACAATCAAATACTAAACGCCTGTATTTAAGCCATAATATGACTAAAAATAATGATGGTCGCAAACATTGAAGGTTTGGCCGGATTTACGAAAAGGA